TGGTATTGATGTTTTCTATCCCACCCATCTCCATTCTTCTCTCCATGCCCCTCTGTCTCCATCTTTGATGTTTTCTAGCAAACACACCCCTTCCGCAGAACCATTAGGGTCTGCCAACTGCAGGGGATGGGTCCTTGACTACGCTGAAGACGCAGCAATAGGATTTTAATGGACACAATCTTGGGATGATTTGAGCACTGTTCAGAATATCTCTGGAAAACCGTAAAAACTTCACTGTGGGAAGCTGGCTTGGGAAAGAATTTGTGGAGGAATTGTATTTCTATGTCTTGAACGTGATTAATTAGAGTAAACTTTAGTGTGGCAAAATTTTCATTGAAAAACTACTAACTTCAAGTATTTGACTCGACTAGCTTAGCCGTATGTTTATTTACATGTACATTCACATGCAACCACTGTCACAGTCCAGGTATGAAGGCCTCCACTCCCAATATTTACCTAATCCTGTTTGCTTAAAACCACCCAGAAACTCTACTATTTCTAATCCTGACAGCTACTGATTTTGATACTTTTGTCTTTATTGTTTCATATAAACACAAATACTCGCATGTTTTTTTTTGTTTCTTTTGTTTTTTTGTTTTTGTTTGTTTGTTTTTGTTTTTTTAGTGGCTGGCTTCTTTGGTTAATGTTTTTGAAATCTGTTCACATTGTATGTATCACACGGTCCATTTTAAACCTCTGAATGTCATTCAATTCTAGGATGCATCATAGTTGATTATTCATTTAACATTTAATATTTGAAATGTCATTATTTTACTTTTTAAGCCGAAAATATTTAACAACATATAAAAAGAGAAAAACGGTACATATTAGGTATTATGTAATGTATTGACACCTTACACATTGTATAATTACATTGAACATACCTGTCTCCTTTGTATTGTAAACCACGATGGCTTCTTAAGGACATTTCCAGTGTCAAGTTCTTTGGAAATAGCAATGAAAGGAAAATATTGATCCTTATTTTGTGTATGTCTTAAATTTTTCTCTGTCTGGCTATGTCTTAAAAATATTTTCTCTTTTTTGGTTTTTTGAGAAAAAAAATATTTTCTTGTGATGTCTTCCAAAACATTGATTTTCTTTCTCTCATCTAAGGGATAATAAGAAAAGAAAACTGGTGCGGGAGAATTATCTGTATTCTGTCAATCATATGGCGCCCACGTGGATAACTGAATCCACAGAAAGCCTGAGAAAGCTTGGGAAAGAATAGAGTAAAGCATGTTTTCTTGGTAGCAGCAATTTTTCGGTTCTGCTCTGCTTGCTAGAGGCAAGCAAATGCTCTCATCTAAGAGAGGCTTCTTGACTCAGCCTTAGCTGCAAAACCTTACAGCTCATTAAGAGGTCCTGCCACAAAACACTTAAATGCTGTTGGTGAAAAGCTGAACACATGCTTTTCGGTTTTCAGTCGTAGCAGGAAAAAAGCTGTGCTGTTTTAAAATGCCGGCTTTCTGGGCTGTCCTGCCAAAGCAAACTCTGACTCTTTCAGGCAGGCAGTCCAACTGAGTGTGGTCTGTGAGCAGAATGCTGCAGCTTGCTTGCTGGCAAGGACTTTGAACACAGCTCTGGCTGGTACCTCAGCCTTGAGGCTGAAATGCTAGCTAAGGAATGAGCTGGATCTAGCTGTCAAAGCCACGGCTCTCCATATTGCTTATTAAATTAATGGCTCATGTGGTCAGAAAAAGAAAAATATACAGTAAAGAGAGATTCAAAGAGGAAGAAAACCTCTAAATGGTTTACATTTTGTATATGCAGGCTAAAAGTTAAAGTTCTTAAAGTTAAAAGGAAAGAAAGAGAGTAGTTGGGTGTGGTGGTACACACCTTTAATCCCAATGCCTGGGAGGCAGAGGCATATTGACCTCTGTGACTTCAAGGGGTAGAGGTAGATTGACCTCTGTGACCTCAAGGTGTGGTAGTACACGCCTTTAATCCCAGCACTGGGGAGGCAGAGACAGACAGATCTCTGTGAATTCAAGGACAGCCTGGTCTACAGAGTTATTCCAGGACAAAGATATACAGAGAACCTGTGTCCAAAAGTAAAAGTAAAAATAAAAGAAATAGAGGTTAAAATAAAGCCACATAAAGATGGAAAATGCACAGAGAATCTTCATACTGTATGCTTTTATGCTCTCTTTAAATTGTTTGATTGCTGAGGAAGGAGCAACAACTGCTAAAAGACTTTTGTTTATAAATGCTGCTGAACTAACCCAAGATAGGCATTTTGAAAATACCTTGGCTTCAAAACTGAAGTCAAAAGGTATGTTACTTTGGAGAAGAGATTTTGCTTTTGTTTCCACAGAAAATGAGAGACTCTGGATTTATTCAGAGTTAAGAATAATCACCTTTGACCAAGGGAGGCCACCTGAAAAATCTCCGATAGGAACAGATGGCCCAGATGACAGAGGTCTACATCCAGAACTGATCCAAGACTGCTGCCTGAGATGATCGAGACTCACAGGATACTCCAGTCATGACTTGATTATAACTCTAAATTTTCTTTAGGTCCCCTTAAGACTATCAGCGCCCCCAACCAGCAGGAAATAGCCTGAAATACTACGCCCACATTCCCAACAAATGGATTATGGGTATTTTCCTTTGTTTTAAAAAAAAAAGAGGGAAATGGTGCGGGAGAATTATCTGTATTCTGTCAATCATATTTTAATAAAACGCTGATTGGCCAGGCAGGCAGTATAGGCGGGAAAGCCAGACAGGAAGTAGGGGTGGAGCAAAGAGACTGGGAGTATTCTGGAAGCAGAAGCTCTCTCTCAGCCACTCCTGCGCAGACCACCGAAGAGGCAACATGTAAGCTGTCACACTGAGAAAGGTACTGAGCCCATGTGGCTAAAATAGATAAGGATAATGGGGTAATATATGTTATAAGAGCTAATAAGTAGCCTGACCAAATGGGCCAATCAGTTTATAACCTAATGTAGACTCCGTGTGATTTTCCTTGGGACTTGCTGGCTTGTTGGGGTACCGGGCGGGACAGAAACCCCAACAAGCCGGCCCTTGTACTACAGAAAACAGCATAAAATAAAAAAAATTAACAAATGAGCAAAAATGCTTACGAGCAGATCTAGATCATTACCTTAGTGCGACTCCACTGAAGAAAATTAAATTTTCATCTGCAAGTGATTATTAATTGGAGATAGCATCTATGTTATGGATGGGGGCACACATCTACTTTCCTTTCAGCTCTAGGACCCCATCTGGTGCAGACCCATGCAGGACCAGTGCAAGCTGCGTCAGTCTCTGAGTTCATATGTGCATCAGTCCTGCTGTCTCTAGAAGGCCTTGTTTCCTTGGTGTTCTCCATTCCCTCTGGCCCTTAAATTTTTTTTGCCTCCTCTTTTACAGGGTCCCCTGACCACTGAGGGGAGAGATTTGACAGAAACATCTCATTTTGGATTCAATGTTTCAAAGTTTCTCATTCTCTTTATAGTGTCTGGCTTGGAGGGGGGGGGTCTTTGTATTTGTTGCATCTGCTGCAGGAAGAAGCTAATCTGATGCTGGCTGAGTAATATACTGATTTATTGGGTATAGCAGAATGTCCTTAGGAGATGGTTTGCTGCTATGTTCCTCTAGTAAAGGAGTAGTATTTTGTTTTTCCCCAGGTTCCTGGGCTGTCTGGTCTCTGGTTCTTGCTCACCACGGTTTCTATCTAATGGAATAGACCTTAAGTCAAACCAGATACTGGTTGTCGGCTTCCCCAGCTTTGTGCCATTATTGCACTAGCATATCTTGTAGGCAGGACAACACTGTAGGGTTTGTAGCTGGGTTAGCGTTTATGTTTCTCTTTTGGTGTGCAGAGTACCTTGTACCAAAGACTCTAGCATGGAGGTGTGAAGACTCTAGGGAGGCACTTGCTCAATTTCTCTATGCTCAATGACCTGTGTAGGCATTGTCTTCAGTAATGGGGCGTTGTTGTCAGTTTATGAAGAACAATTTATATTCTTGGTAGGAACCTGGATTGTTTGGGAGCTTCCATAGGCCCATTTTGGCTGACTACTCAATTAGGTGTAACCCAGTTCTGGTACTGAAAGCCTCATTTGGTGACAAGAGATGTCCTGCTTGGGATCTTTCTCCACTGCCATTTGATGATTTCACTTAGATTGCCTTTATGTATGTATGTGTTTAAGGAAACTTCAAATGTATTAGACTTCCAGACTTCACCTCAACTTTGTCTCTTAATTTTAGTTGTATTCTTGTTTATATCTTTGATTTTGCAAAGTATTTGACTGTCATAGAATGCTCTTCTTTTATGATGTCAAGATTGATTACTAAATTCTCAGTTATCAACTTGGAGTTTACACTTAAGAATAAGTGCATCTCTCATTTAAATATCATGGTTTATAAACTGAAGAAAGTATGGATTTATATCACTAAATACAAACTCATTAAAAACAAAACCTCTATTCTAACTCTTAATTGGCCCCAACAAAAACTCACACTTAATAACTACAATATTAAGTCTTACATGGAGGGAAATTCTTTTTTAAAGTAGGTTATTATTCTAATACTTAAATATCTTGTTTATTTAAATTTCATTAACTTTATATTTATACATGGTTAAGTGAATAATTTCAAAGTTTAACAGCATTTTTGTGTTCTATAGTGGGAAGGGGTTAAATAGTTTATTTGCTGATTATAGTGGCCAACACTCACATATATTCCATAATATATACAAAAATTCTGGGGAACATTAAATTATCTTATCAATTTTTTTCTACTTTTTGTCTATTTTTAAGAACTTAAGGTGATTATATTAATTTTTAACTTTTTAATTTTACAATTAATTATGATGATTATGTTTCATTCTTGTGTTATTTAGAACATAGTTGTTTATCTGAATGTTATTTGAAGTAGTAATCAGATTAGTGACTTTTTTAGAACAGGTAAGTTAACTCGAAGATGGTTTTACTATTTAATGACTTACAAGATTTCATACAGCTTCATGTCCCGACCATCATTGGATAGCAGAAGCCATGGCCCTGAGCTACCCATATCCATGCCCTCAGCATGAGCCATGCGACAACAAAAAGGTCAATAAGCCGAAACATAGCCTCAAGAGCCTCACCAAGCATACTAATTCCATTCAGGACATGATCCTGGAGGTACACCCTGGAGCTGCTCAGGTGTCCAAAGAGAAGTGCACACTTAAATTCATCAAGAAAAAGATGGGCATGGACTTAGGCTCCAAGAGAAAGTGGGAGGAGTTTAGCAGTCTGCTGGCGGCCTTGAGGAAGGTGGCCAAGGACTGATGTCCCCAGCACCAATAAATGCTGCTGCTGCTGCACACACACACACACACACACACACACACACACACACACACACACACATTCATACAATAGATAAGAACAGAGTAAGTAGAAAAAATAGTGTTTGATTTGCTTTCTTCCCAATGTGCTCATTTCATGAATAAAATAACATCTCATAAAATGGCATTGATATATTGTCTGTTTGCAGCAAGAGATTATTGGGACATAGAGTTAAGAGGACAGATTCCCTATTAACCAATACGCATCTAGAACACTTCACTCATGAAACAAAAACACCATGTTTGTTGATGGCGGAAGCATGAGTCTACTGGAGTCAGTTTAAGCTGCAGATATTTCCATCTTCCTGAAGAGCTTATAGATCAGTTTAAGATTGGAAGAAGTGGAAAAGACAAAATAATCAAAGACATTTTCAAAAATTTAATACTAAAGATAAATGTGAGATTATTTTGAATTTTAAATAAATGTGATTTATTTAGGTAGAGTATGGAAAGACGTCTGAATTGTGAAATAATCTTAAATATTAGAACTTGTAGAAATAGCAGTCCTAATTTAGCTTTCAGCAGCATCTCTGGTGACATGATCATGCTATCTTCTTGCAGTCTACTATTCTGATTTTAGATAGGGCTGTAACATTCTACATTCCCTCAGAATGACAGTCACCTGTCAGAAGAAATGGAGAGGAAAGAAAACAAAGAAATCTGTAGCAGTGACAGCGAGATTAAAACACTATCGTACACTATATATCCCCACCATGAAAGAGCTAAAACTGAGGAGAAAATTTGGTAGGAAAGAGCAAAGTATAAGATACATTTATATGGGGAAAGATTCAAGTCCTCATCAACACCAAAGCCTGCAGAGTCGCCATGATACTGCGATAGTAGACAGCGAAAGAAAAGTGGGCAAGGGTGAAAGAATTATCTGGAAGTCTGATGGAAAGGGAGGGTTGGATGCTGTAGAATGGTGTTGTTGGATTAGCTTGCTCTCTTGATTTGGAAGGTCTATCTTCTGAAGATTCCTCAAAGAAAAGAGAGTTTTTCTCCAGATGCTTTTAGAAGGAAGACAGTTTGGATCAGCCAGTCTTTTGTCAGAGAAACAGGGGAACAAACACAGCATCAGGAGTAATGCGTGCTCTTCTTCTCTCTCCCTCCCTCTCTCTTTCCCTCCATCTCCCTTCACCCTTTCTCCGTCCTCTCTTCTCGTCCCCTCTCTTGTTTGAATGCGATGTGTGTGGACATGTGCGTGTCAGTGTGTTTGTCAACGTCACAAGACGTTGTGGGAGTCAATTCTCTCCTTGAGATCAAACTCAGGTTGTCAGACTTTACAGGAAAGACCTTTATCCACTATGCCATATTGGTTGTCCATAATGACATGTGTACATGTCTATTATTAAAATTATGGGACTGTAATTAGTTATTTTGATTTTCGTGAATTATCCAGAACTGTTCTACCTACCATCACTCAGACACCATAACTTACTATCAGTTTAATTTGAAACACATTCAGTAAGTCTGTGTAATTGGGGAAAAAAATGAAATAAAATGGCTTTGGAGGTGGCAGCAGAATGAAGTTTAAATTAATTGTACCAAGTTAAACAGACCAAAGGAAGAGGTGCTGGAGATAATAGGTAAACTCTGTTTTGTAATATTTTCTCTAGCTTTCTGTCAGTGTCAATTAGAAAGAGTTTCAGCTTGTTAGATGTCTAGCCTGTCTCAGAGAAGTCTGTTAAAAAATACACATGCAAAACTATACATTTTTTTTCTTGGGACGGGGAACAGGTTAAAACAAAAGTGAGACAAAATATTCAAACAAAATTTTGATGTAGTTATCCTAAAAGATAGGAAAGTTCAAAGTTAAAATTGACTCAAAATCAATTCCATATTTATGTTAAAAGGTGAAAGGTTAAAAATAGCTAGAATAGCTACCATAAACACATGACTTGGCACAAAGCAAGAAACAGCACGTGGTGGGGGGTGATAGTGGTGGGTAGAGCAATAACTGGGGGAAAGGAACGGCCAGGTGTCATTAATTTTGATAAATGTTCAGCATCCTCAGTGCATATCAAATAAATCCCTATTACTTTTGTTAGTAGGACCCTAGAAAACTAAGAAGAAATAAGTTGTTTCAGTTTGACACCTTCTACTACAGTTATAAGAATGCTAACCATTGCTTGTGTGTGTGTTTTCTCAATATCTTTTAAAGGCAAGTTTTCCATACTTACCTTTACACATGTGTGGTGGTCTCTAAATGAGGACAGTATTCTTGAGCATGCACAAGCCATTTTTTAATATCCTTTAACATTAAGCATTAGTGCTGCTTGACTCTGGACATAAAGTTCAGTAGGTGTCCCATTAACATTGTGTAGAAAAAGAGCCTCATTTTTTTTTTCCTGTAACTACTGATCCCCTTGTTAGGCATCCATGCAGTTTGTACTGATAGAGGAACCACAAAACTCCTCTTGGTCACTGCAGACCCACACCAATTCCAGTACTCAATCACCCCGCTTCAACTCACAGCAGACATTGTTTACACAGCGGCAATCAACAGAGTAAATTTAGAATATCCTAGAATAAATTATGATAAATTCCCTGCTTCAGGACGATAACTTAATGGATCGGACGCGGACTATCTCCTAGAGAGTGAAGTGATGAACATTCTTTTCAGGGAGTAATTTTGGTGGAACTTTGTGCAATGTTCAAAAGAGGAACATTTCAACCACTTTTTAAAAATGCTACATTTGTGATTTTGGAGATAATAATAATAATAATAACAACAACAACAACAACAACAACTATATAATGGTCTTTTGTGGATCAAGGGATAAAGTGTTTGTAGGGAGAGAGTGCCAAGATCTTGCTGCAAAGACGATGCCTTCTCATGCTTTTCCTCCCCCTGAGTGACCTCATGACCTACAGAATGAAACCTGTGGACTGTGCCAGGTATGCCATTCCTAAAATATTTTTTGTCTATAGTGAGGGTGACTGGCTAATATCTTTGCAAATCTATCAAAGCAATTTTTTTTTGCATGCTCTTTCTTGGAATTTCACTTCCACATGTGAGACTGAGTCGTCTGTACGGAATCCGTGGCTCACCTTTGACTTCCAAATCTGTACCAGCAGCCTGCAGTGAAGAAAACAGGAGCCTCCGCTAGTCCCGGTTCATCCCCACTTCCCTCTGCCTCTGACCCTTCTCAGTTTCCATCACTTCAGTTTAATGATTTCCTTTTTCATTCTAATGCCTTTATCCACTTGATCGGGATTATGTTTCTCAAAGTGTCTGTGCTGCACAGATGGACATGTACACACACACACACACACACACACACACACACACACACACACACGCACTCACACACACAGCTTGAGGTCACAGAGCAAGACTTTTTCTTATTTTCAGTTCTTAGCACTCCAAACCCTGTTTGATGGAAGTCAGTGCTGGTTAAGCATGCTGGAGACGGAACAGAACGTGCAGCATTCATTCAGTTTGACTGCCCTTGAGGGGCTGCTTTCAGGAGCTCAATGAGCAAGAAGCATTTCTGTGACTGACCAGCTGTTTCACACAGGGGAAAATGATCTGGTTCCGGACTTAGGCAAAATGGAGTTTCCATCCCTTTTATTATGTTCGTTGAGTGACTGGGTGATTTGGGGTGAGCCCATTCTCGCCTTTGACTCATATCTGTAGAATGGGATTAATAACCGTGACTTTTAGAAAATGCTTGAAGTGTGAATGAGAATAATAAGTCTAAAGAATTTGGTGGTTAGTGAGCACTCAAAAATTATTAAACATAACGATGACTTCTCTGCTTTTAATCCATGATAACCACATCCTTCTGTTACGCATGTCCTCTCGAGCTGTTTCTAATAATTGTTAGCTGGTTATAAGAAAAATCTGGTCTGTAGAGGGAAAAAGTACAAGGTAGAGATTTCCCCTGTGAACGTGCTTTGTAAATTAGAAATCACAACATAAATGATATAAAAATGAGAATGTTCTTCCTTGTTCTGTGTTCATGGCAGTACCCCAACTGGACATGTACAGCATGAAATATGGCAGCAAATGCTAAATGTTGGGATTGGTTAATGATAGTGTCAGAATGGATGTGGCAAAGAGATCAAGAAGGAAAGTGAGTTTGAGCTCATGCAATGGATGTGTTCTTTTGGTTGCAAGCAACATAGATGTAACTCACAGAGACTTTTGTAGCACTGTTTATCAAAATTGGCTCAAATTCACTCTTGGAATAGGCAGAAGAATGAGCTTTATAACAACTAGCTAAAGAACACAAAAGCCATTCTTTCCTGAGGAAATCCAAGATGATCTTACAGTAAAAAAGACCAATGTCTGTTTTTCTGAGAAGGATTCTCTGCATCCATAGTGTCTCCTGTGGTGGCAACACTAATCACCATGCGTTTTAGACTTAACAGTCTCACTTATATTTTGAACATTTGCGCACAGTCACATATTAATCTATTCTACAGATACGGTGAGACAGGTTAAGGATCTCACTAAAGACCAGCAGATCACAGATCACAGTGACTCACCCAAGCTCAACGGAGAGGGGGATGAAATTATGTCAAAACCCAGGTTTGTCGGTGTCCAAAGCCTTCTGTAAACCCGTATGATGTTGTATTCAAGTATGATAAGCCTACTTGCAATGTTGATAATATTTAATTTTTATAAAGCTGGTGATCATGAAAAATTTATTGTGTGAAAATATTAGAAAATAATTAAAGCGGAACAATAGCATATTAAGTGTTCCAAATGAAGAGTGTATTTCACACCTACATGAAATTAAGAGGTTACAAATAGGTGGGAAATTATCTTATTTACAAAATGGAAAGTTCTTTCCACAATACAATAAAGATCCTGATCTCTCAGTTGTTTTTATAGACAATTAATAGTTACAGATTGACATTGCAAATAAGAAATGGCCTCCACTGAAGAAAATTGTGGTTGTGACATTTTCTGAGAAAGTGTGCGCTATGAAG